CGTGGATGGCCAGGACAAGCCCATGAGGAAGAGAAAGAAGACTGGGTTTAGTTGCAGACATGGATCCAAACGACAAGCAAGGATCGACGTGTGCCCACTTGCTTGCCAGTGAAGGTCCTTAATTATGCGGTTTTACGCGGTCTAAGAAGGATAGGAGAGCCATCGAGATCCTTAGATCCAAGTGAACGACGCGGACAGACAGAATGAAAAAGCGAGATGCATTGGATAAAGAAGAGGGAAAATGAGGGAGAGACGATATACGCATTCTTCTTATTCGTTTCTGCTTCACTTGAAGATGGAAGAATGCAAATGTCTGCATTGAGGATACTCAAGAGTAAACGAGAAGTAGAGAGAAGGGGTCGTGGCAGCCCTGAAGATCTTAACCCTTTTAGTTAGCAGATGCCGCGAGATACCGGCTTTACCTCTATCCTCACTCGTGTCTTATCTTATTATACCGTGATCTAACCCTTTATCATTTTGACATGCTAGAAAAATTCTTACTATCGATCAACTGCAACTAAACCCTCTATATTCACTGCCATGTTGTGAATAACGTTGTTGACAAACACATCTAGCTTATTGCTACTGTATTGTACTATTGTTCGATTTACTGTGTGACTATACTCGACCTAAGAATTATTAGAAGAGCTGCAGAATTGAACTCAACAGGTATAACCGGTTGCTATGTTGATACCAGTAAGAAAGACTCGTAAATTCGAATTGATTTCGAGTCCTCCTATATGGATAACCATTCTAGCTATCGCTTTACGACTCCATTCCAATCCAAATGGACTATTGCAATTACATCAAGAAAAATAATCAAACATCAGAAATTATCATTTAATGTAATATTTATAATCTATTTTATTTCATTCATTTTTTGCTCAAGTTTTTCGAATACTTTTTTTGCTTTGATTAAAATATCTCATCGTTATTTTAATTTTTATTGCATACCAATTAAGCTTTGGATGTAAGAATTATAGAAAAAAAGTGTTGGAGATAAGTTGACAATTTTTATCAATAATTAATATTATTATATTAATTTTCTACCAAGGTTGACAACACATGTTATCTATCATTTAATAAAAATTTATAATTTATTGCTCTGAATATTGATATAAATTTTTATCTTTTAATCACAATCTATATAATAACTTATACATTATAATATTAATTATCCATTTCACTTTAAAGTATTCTTCATTTCAGGTAATTATTTTAATTATATAATATGATAAGCTGATCGAAGATTTTTTATCATTAAAGAATATTCATTAACAAAATGATACTTTAATAAATTAGTTATTTACAACCAATCTTATTACTTCTTTTATTTTTCACATTCTCTCAATTAAACATAACAATAAAAAATTTAATGTTATATTAAAATCAAAATTATAAAAAAAGTCTCACAAAAGTTTCACTTTATGGTTGAAATAGTCTCATCAATGAAATTATCATATAATGTAATTGATTACGTATGGAATTTTTTTCTCTATTTTAACAAAATATTCAACGTCTGAATGAGCAATAAAAAATTCGAATAAATTTTAATTGAAGATAAAAGCAAAGATTCGTACAAAGGTTTCCCTTGTTAATTAAAATAGTTTCATCAATAAAATTATCATTGAATTCAGGCGACAGTGGATACGTCCAGGATTCTGTCTCGTGTGAAAGCACATGATGCAGCCGAGGATCGGTTTCTAAGGAGAGAAGAGAAAGCCTGAGAACGTAACTGAGCGACGACGAAGAGCAAACGCCGTATCCAGAGTGCATGCTTGTCTAGAGATGCAGACCTCTCTCGGGAGCGGCTACCACCACGTAACCCATGACTCCTTCTTTCCCTTCATACCGCACACTCATCTGTATCGGCTTATGTATCTCACATGTGCACTTATGTCTGCACGAATTGCAATTATACCATTTAACCATCTGCCTTTCCACCCATATTAATTCAATTTTCTTAAATTTTACTTTAATTCAAGCTCATTTGTCTATTCTCCATTGCACTCAAATTACTTAAGCTATTCTTTTGGTCCAGGTGCAAGAATTACGTCATAGGTTTCTTGCGAGAGAGATCAAGACGGTGAGGATTCACTTTAGTGAATGTAAATATCGTCGCAACTTGCAAAAGAAAGAGACGACTAGACAAGGATATATTGATGAATGAATAAACTTTTACGATTCTCAAAACTAGAGATGTGCATAAATATTAGAAGTAAATAAAGATAAGACTGTTATTTTAATAAAGTGACAAAGTATGTGAGAACATTGACTGGAGTCACATAATGTTAAAAATCTAGACTCTTGTTGAAGAGAAGTAAAGAGGAGGATGAAAGTAAAACATTTTTTTTTCATCCGGTCGAAAAGTGTCAGATCACGAAATGTCGAAGCTTGAGTTTACACTCGCCATAGGGAAAGACCGGCTTCCTAGAAAGTGGGGTTGGACACCTGTCCCTCAGTGATTCTCAATCTACCGTTAAATCAAGGATAACACGTTGAGAACCACAAAAAAATATATATTAATATTCAACCACGTGTTTTTTTATTTAATTTCTTAATTAAAAAATTAATTTTAAGAACTTTATAATCTACATTTCTTTTCATTCAAAGAATTCGTATGGCTATGATAAAAAGTTCCTCCCATAAACAACAGAATTAATCAAGTATTTCTTTGAATTTTAAAATTAATCACCTAATGAATCAGTAAAACAATTTTAATCTACAGCTCAATAATATATTTAATTGAAGGATAAAAAGATGAATTCAATTAAATTTTTATTAATTAAGAAATTAAATAAAAATCCGGTATTCATATTGTAGAATTTTGTTTCAATAAAAAAAAAATCACTATTTTTATTGGATGATTTATTTTAATTCAAACTTGTAGATCAAGTAAGATTATCAAATAGCTATTATATGCAAGAATTTGAGAAATATTGTGATCGACATCCTGGAAGCTAGAACGGAATGTATACAACCGTCGTTTGGTGGTAGGGGAGGAGGAAGGAGCAGCCGGTCTAGGGCCCAATGTTTTCTGAATAGGCCCTACGATCCAACAGCAATGTCGGACGCAACAGGGGAATACTAATGCACTCGGCGAATAAACACACTTGGAAAAGCACCCAACTCGTTGATAAATCAACGGTTGCATACATTTTTTTGAAAGATAAGCAGTTTGAATGAAAAGCTAACGCAAGCGTCGTTTGATAATAGTACATGCGCCGGCGCTGATGACTGATCCGTGACCTGTTGCCTAGCAGCAGCGTCTGTTTTACACTGTTCAAAAAATGATTTTAAATAAATTGACACTTACCGGACACTGATGGTAAGGTCACGACAAGAATCCAGAGGATGACGCTCATTGAGAGTATGTAATCCAAGCGATTCCGTCGCTCCATCTCGGCCGATTTTTTATCCAACACAAAAGATGAAACACACACACATATCAGCCTCACTATCCGTCATTTGACCGGGATCTATGCATTTGATTTATAAACGATATAAAATAGTTTCATTAAAACTTTAAAATCACTCAACACTTTGTCTTGATAATCCACAAAAATTGGAGTCACACGGTTAATAGTCCAATTCACTCGCGAGGTTCAATTATTGTCGATTGCTCCGAAAAAAAAAAAAAGAATTTACAAGGATACACAAGCACGACCGCGCACGAACCACGTCTGGGCATCTTTTGTCCCTCGAACGCGCTGAAAGTAGTTCCCTCTTGCGCGCGCACCTGCACATCGCTCAGTATATCACTCCGCGCATCAAAATGGCTGACATTCTAACCAATGGGGTGACAAGTCTACAAGAAAGTTTCAAGGGATGAACGGAAATGGGGTGCTCTTCGGTTCTTGAATTTTCTGAAAAGAAACCAGGGGGAATTTAAAAATTTTTTGGGGTGGTTTAGGGTCTGAGACTGACAACAGATGTTCGTACTTAAGGTGACTGTATCTCATGCCCTAAATAGCATCTAATTGAACTGTTCGAAATTTTAACTTTGAGCAATTGTTCTTTTCTTTAGCAATCATTGGATTAATCTAATACTTTATATATCCATTGAATAAATATTAAAATAAATGTAAAATGAATAAAAAATATAATAGTAATTGAATTATAAAGTTTTTAAGTTTTCGTAGATGATATTCTCTTCAAATTTGAAGATAAAAAATTATACTCGTTTTTAGTGATTCAAAATGATGAGTGATGCATTACTTATCTAATTAGATATTGTTTATCGTATGAAATTGTAAATTTATATATTCTTAGGAAATATGTTTTAGTAAATCATCATAACATGTATTGACATACGTTTTAAAAAGTACTACTAATTTAGAAGAATTCATTAAAAATTATTAAAAATAAATATTATTCTTAAAAATTTCTAACAAATTAGAAACATTCATCTACATAGTATGTAATATATAATTTGTTCTTCAATTTTCTATGTCTGACGTATATAATCTTCAACTCCTAGATGTTGTAAATTTTATATGATTAAATTCCATTAACAAATACAAGTAGAAAATATTTTGTTTCAATTTCTTCTCAATTTTATAGATACTTAGAAGAATGAAAGATTATTGTAAATAGTAAGTCAAATGAAAAACCCACGCATTAATAAATCTTTCTCATCGTAGCTGATTGCGTGTAACTTAAAATTCATCGAGGGCAATTTTCGCGTCGTCGACTAACGAATATAAATGCTGAATTCGGTGGCTCTCAGCAAAAGCTTTGAAGGATATAGCATCTGACTCGCATATAATATCTCTCGTGAATCCCATGTGGAATCTACCAAGTGATCTTTCAGATGCCCCATGCACGAGCTTGAGTCATTAGTTCTTATTAATGGAGCCGTTAAGTTTATCGTCGCACAACAAACATTCATGATGCTTCATCCAATGCTTGCTAATTAATGCCACATCGTGCTACATCAACTGAGTAGGAATAAATTGTGACGATTGAAATAATACTAACTTTTTCCATGCGTGGTAGAGTGAAGAAATGTCAGGGTTTGATCAAACACCGTTGTCTGGACGACTTAAGTTGTGTCGATATTTATTCTCTAGCTATAAATCCAAAACATGGCTGATCCTCTCTTGTCAATTCATCAGGAAAGTAATCTTTCTGTCCTAAACAGAAAAATCATTGAAATTAAAAAGAAAATACAACTCTCAGGTAAATTCTTCATTTTTTGCACATAGAAAATTACAAAGAAATTTTACTTACAAATGATTAAAAAGTTCTTAAGATTCTCTCAAATGAAATCCACTAAGAATTAACTCATTATTACAATTAAAAAAGAGAGAGCCTATCAATCTCTATATAATTAAATTTTATTTATGATTTTAACCCATAAAAAAATATTTATATCTTAAAAAACTTTTATGATAATTAGTATTATTTTTTTTTGATGAATAAAGCAATAAGAATTTTTCTCTTAATGAAACTGATAAATCTTATTACTATGAACCATTCATTGATATTAATTATCAATCGTAAAAATAGAATGACTCATTATTAATTTATAGCTATAGTATTTTTAATTTACTGCCTTTTTCATGTGTAAAAAATGAAATGTAGCATAAAAATAATAAATAAATGAGTAATGGAGTTAATTACTTTCATCAAAGTGATGTGCTACTATCTTCTTCTTTTCTGCCTTTTCTATCTTCGTTATACTTTTGCATTGCTTGGTTTGCACGCCATAGTCACGAGTGCTCAGTGAATGAACCGCGTCGCTAATTCAGCTGCTAACTGGATGCTCTGGGGTCAAGTTTTACGATTCCACGAAGCCTCATGCACGCGCATTCTCATTCTCCATCACCAACTTGTGGCTCATCTTTAACTCTACCGGACAAATGATTTAATTTTATGCACACTCAAGTTGTTTTTGTTTCTAGAGGGACAAAGGAAGGCTAACTTTGAAGAGTGCGATGCAAAAATACGTGAGAGTACAGATAAAATTACAAATCTCAAGAAAGATATCAAAAGCTTGCAACATAAGTACTCTAGAATTAAAAACGTAAGTACTCATCAAATTAACAATGATATGGTTATTTTTTTTATCCGTATAATTTGCTGAAGTATGCATTCATCTGATCAGAATGAAGATGTTGCCGAAAAGATAGCCCCAACAAGTAGAGAATCATCAGCCTGCATCAAAAAAGGTGGCATTAAAGAAGCAATATCAAGAGTTGATGAAGATAATATTCGGTTACGAAAAAAGCTAGATCTTATCAAATATAAGAGCGTTAAAGTAATAAATTAATCTTTATCATGTTTAGAAAAAATTTCTAGAAAATTAATTAATGCTAAATAATTGTTATAGCAACAAGAAATACTTACTCAGCTTCTTAAAGAATATACAGAGTTGATGGATGGAAGAGCACAAAAATTGATGGAGAAGAAGCTCGAACATCCTCTAAAAAAGGTTCAACGTTATAGTAAGAATTCAATGATCCATTGATAATTGTTAAATTATAACATATTTACAAAGAAAAAAATAATGCTAAATATTTATTAAAATAAAAAACAATCATTTTCATTGAAATAAATAGAGTAAATGGGGAAGAACAAAAATCTAAATTAATAAAATTTTTACAGAAAATTGTAAGTTTAGAGAATCAATTACATCGTGTGAGTGTAATGCAAATGGAAGCTGATACTGTTAGAAAAAAATATAGGTCTGTGAGAGCTACGTTAAAATCAGATGCAGCATTTTATGTATCTTCATTACAAAAGTTAGAACAAAGTGTAAAAGAACAGGATGCAGAAATTAAACAATTACAAGTAATTATTTAAATTTAATAACGATATTTTAATACAAAAATGATAAATCAATCTTCATTCAAACTTCATTTATAGCAAGTCAAAGAGGAAGCTGTCGGATTACGAGATATAACAAAGGAGACTTTGATGCATCAGCAAATTGAGGCAATGAATAAAAGCAAAGAACGTGACAATATAATATTGGATTATAGACAACGAGTGGAGAATCGAAAACTGGAATTAGAGAGAATAGAAAGAATGATTTTCCCCGCACCCAGAATAGCTCCGAGAGATGATTTTGAAGTAATTGAGAAACCTACTGAACTCAGTGAAGATGGGTCTGTTGAAACACCTAAAGATGAAATGACATTTCTTGAAGAGTCATTTGCTAAGCTTAGGGGTGCAACAGGTGTTACGAAAACGGAGGAAGTTTTAGACCGATTTTTAAGTCAAAAGTCTACAAAAGATAAACTACAGAAAATGCGAACTAATATGGAAGAAGAAAAAATGAATTTGGAAAAACGAAGACAACAACTGACCGGAGAGATTGAATTACAGAAATTTTCTGAGACCAAAGATGCTGATCAGTAAGTTATAAAAATGCTAATTGATAGACCTTCCTTAGATGAATTGATAAGAAAGTTTCAAATTACATTAAGTTGTTTCTCTAAGTTAATTGATTCAACGAATATTGAAAGTAATATTAATTAGTAAAAATGTCTGTTACAAATTGATAACTATTAAATATTAATTAACTTCTTTTCTACAATAATATGAAATCATTCTTTAAAAAAAAATACGAATTTTTTTTATGAAGCTAAATTTTTATTTTTTAGAAATGCTGAAAAATTAGCCCAATTAAATGCACGAATAAAAGAAGAAGAAGACCGACAAAATAGAGCTAATGTGGATATTCAAAGGATTGAAGATGTGATTAATGAAGTTTCTAGGACTCTTTGGAAATTTTGCGACAAACTGCAGGTAAGTTTTAATACTCAGTTTCTTGAAACAACAAAAGAAATATTTTTTGAAATTAAAGACTGAACTCCGAGCATCCTGATTCTATCCAATAATTTGAACTTTACAACCTGCAATTAACTCTACCCTTCTCCGAAGAAACTTATGATTGATTTCAAGGTTGCCATTAAGAAGTTTAAAAAGTAAAATCGTAGATATTCTAGAATCAAGATGTGTATTTAATATTTTTATAAAAGAACCTCTAATTGTTAGCTAAAAGCCGTGAGCTCGTGCGAATGGTTTGTTGATGGTAAAGATGCCGGTATAAAAACTACAAATGATTTCGAATTCTACGGCCATTTAGGCGGGCATATAAATATGTATCCTTGAAGAGAAGGACCGCCTCTTTCCAAGTCTTCGATAGATCTTTCAAGATAGTCTCTAAGTGTAATTCTCACCTTCTAGTCTCGTGTATACTTCCGAACATTAGCACCTCGCGTTGCCAATCAAGAATAAACATTCCGCTCCAATCTTTTTCCTAGTCTTCAGTCCAACCTATCTGCACTTATAGGCTACACTTTACCTAGAAAAATCAACGAGCCACAGCAAATACGTAGGAGTGATTACTAAACATTAGGAATCTACTACCAACCATTGACATTCCTCACGTCTTCTTCTTATCACTTGTCTTAAATATTTTATTTAGGATGTTAGCGAAACTCCAGTGCCACCCGAGCCTAATGGAGATCCATTTGAACTCTTGGAACTTTTAGAAGAGAAAATGAAGGCAGCCATTAGCATGTTAGGCGGGCCAGACCAATATGCTAAATGGATTGAAGAAATTACTACCGATAAGGCAAGTTTCTCTGGCTTAATTTGTTATAAATTGAAACTTAAGATTGGGAATTAATTTTAATTTAAGCTATCAATAACTTTAATTGAAAAATTATAATTTGTATACAGTTTAGTACCTTATCCGTGAGTTCAGATGCTGGAGAGAAGAAGCAAGATATCGATGAACGCCCACTTTTTCCTAGGTTTCCTGGTACGCCAACTCCTGCGGCTCCACCTGTTCCTTCTGATGACGAAGAAGAAGTTCCAACTAGAAGTGTGCTTAAAAGACAAGCTCAGCTTCTTATTGACACTAAAAGTCGTCGAAAAGGTTTTAATTTTAGACGATAAATTTAAAATTAGTTTTAAATGTGTTATGATAAATATGTATTTTATTTAACAAAAATTTAAATAAATTAAATCAGAAAAGAGCAAGAATAATTTACCATAATTTATAAAAACTAAAGAAGCTAATTGATATAATTTGTAGTTATTTTGATTGTACATGACAAAATTGATTTATAAAGGTAAATAATTTAGTAGAATTTAGACTCTACAAATAAGAAACTAAATTAATGAAAACTCTGAATCAGTTTCATAAAAATGACGACTAATTTTGGGTTTAAGACTTTCATCTGGATGAAATATTTTTTCTTTTGAATTGATATTTTTTGATAATTTAACTGTCTGATTTAAGAGTCCACATGTGACTGGCCGTGCTAAACAAGCTTCAACTCTTTCTTGAACTACTCTTTTTTCAGCAACTCCATCGATGACATTAACTGATTCACCAGCATACTCTAACAACATTCCGATGTTTTTCTGATATTCCTCGAGCTTTAAAATATGACGAATGTATTCGAAAGATCAATTTTTAATAGACGAAGAATAATAGCTCACATCCTGTTCGACCTGACTTCTGATGTCTTTAGGACGAATACCCAAACCTTCATAAGAATGGAAATCATCCGATGGTAGATGATGCTCACTACCGGTTAATAAATTAAATCGACGTGATAATAATCGTTCTTTGCATGTCATTTGATCGACGTTAAGAAAAATAATCCTAAGCAAAAAACAACACATTAGAAATATCTAACATTCACTTAATGTAAAAGACTAATCTTAGGAAACCTGTTTGGAGGTGTCGTAAGCGAATTCAGCAGCTGAAAATCTTTAACTGTGAGAGGGTATCCAGTTAAAACCCATCCTTTTTTGATACACTCATGGCTCATCAATTTATTCTAAGTATTATTCAAATGAATTTAGATAAGAATACTAAAATTTTTCTAGTGTATCCTTGTACCTCGACTACTTTAATCCTTATGTCAGACTTTGGCAATGTACCCCACCGATCTTCTATACGTCTTAGTTCTTTACCTAATGGAAAATTTTGCTTCCTTGTTTGTTCCAAGAGATAGTCAAAGTCAATATGGACAAGACCATATCTTTGTGAAAGATAACGAGCCACAGAACGACATCCTGATCCTCGCGAACCGATGAGCAAAACACGGAAAATACATGGAACGTAGTATCTTTGCTTTTTTGTTAATTTTATAATTAAATTACCAAGCTCTTCATATGTTCGTCCTGCAATTTCTAGTATCTATTAAGAAAAAAAATTATTATTTCTAATTTCCTCATATTATTCTTTTAGCCTGAAGGAGAGAAGTACTGTTAATTTATTGGCATATGCTTCACGAAGACCATTAATGTTCAGGTTGTAACATTCTTCTTCAGTTTGTTCGCACGTTTGAGAGGACCTCGTTGACGATGAGCTATTCAGTGAATTATCATCATCAGATGAATTATCTTGAGTGAAATACTTACTTTAGTGACGTGTGAAATGTTCAATTAATTCAATTAGATTATAAGAACTAAGCTTACCTGATTTATTGGTCCAAACTATTTCTATAACATGAGTGGGCAAAACTCCAATTCTCTGCAGAGCTCTGGCTTCCAATTTACTTCTTGGAAAATCTTTTAACGAAATACGTCTCTTTAAAATACATTCAGAATATCATAAATATTAATAAGTACTTTGTACCTATGAATAACCATCCTGTTTCATGAAATCGTTGTTCTTCTAATGTTCTTTCAACATTTTTGGCAAAATTTCTTGTTAGACTCGAAACAAGTGGTTGTATGTTTTGCAATGATACACGATTAATTCCAAGTTTTATTTCTAAATATTCAGCTAATAATTCTTTGTCTGAAAAATTTAACTTTAGTAATCACTCTCATATCATTTTGAATTCGAAACAAGATTTTTTATAATATACCAAAATTAGGTGGAGACAATAAAATAATTCGTAATGTATCTCGTCGTTTTACTGCAAGATGTAATGAATTTTTAATGTAAGACAGGGGATCTATTGGCTTCTCCATGACTAACAATGTAATGATTTCCTACAATAAAAAGAATTTATTAGAGTTATTTCAATATCAAAGTATTAAGTTGAGCATTCTAATTAACATAAATTTTCTGAATAAAAGCAACATTAAAGAATTCTGCTTCTCGTGAAAAATAACCTTTATGTGTTCTTCAATCTACAGATCAAAACTTACAAATAAATATTCATGATAATAAATTAGTATGAAAAAAATCAATTATTCTTACAAAAAACAGTTCATAAATCTTATGCCGTTCTAAATAAGACAAAAACTGAGCGAATCGAGCGTGTTTTTGTATGGTTTCTTCTGTATCCATTTTTAGATCTATTTTTCTTTATATCTAAACTCGAATTGAGTTGTCAATTATAGAAACCTAATTCAACCTCCAATTTATAGCGTAATAAAACAAATTCACGCAATAGTGATCGAAAAACAATTGAAAATTATTTTTATAGTAGTGCGACATCTATTAATCCACAGTCGATAACAAAAAACTAAATTCTACCACAAGAGGGCAATAACAGTTTTTTCCATCAGTGTCCACCGTGCACGTTGCCTGAATCGTTCCGAACCTCAATCTTGTATTACGGGATTGCATGAGTGAAAGTAATAAGGAGTGTAAAATTAGTGCTCCAGTATGTCATCCAGAACTGATAAAGATTTAAAAGATATCACTAGCAAAATTCCCGAGATGGAAATCGAAGAAACGGGTAAAAAGTTGACCCATAAAGAAAAGAAAAAGCTCAAAAAACAACAAGAGTATGAGAAAACTATGGAAATGTTGACTAAAACTGGGGGCCAGGGTCACAGTGAATTAGACTCAAATTTCACAGTTTCTCAAAGTCAAACTCAGCAACGTGGAGCTCAACAGTTGGAGCATGCAGTTGATATTAAAGTGGAAAATTTCAGTATTGCAGCAAAGGGTAAAGAATTATTTACCAACGCTAGTTTACTTATAGCGCAAGGACGACGATATGGTCTTGTAGGTCCTAATGGGTACGTTTGGTCAAATGGAATATTATTCAAATTTTTAGAATTAGTGATTTATTGTTTATTCTATTTTAGACACGGTAAAACGACTCTACTGCGTCATATTGCCAGTCGAGCATTTGCAATTCCTCCAAACATTGACGTATTATATTGTGAGCAAGAAGTTGTAGCTGACGATACTCCAGCTGTTGAAGTTGTTTTGAACGCTGATGTTAAGTATAAAAAATTGCAGAAAGAATGTAAACAATTAGAAGAGCAAGCAGAAAATGGAGATGAAACTATTCAAACTAAATTACAAGAAGTAAGTAAACTTCTTCATTTTTAAATATCACTCAAATTGTTATGATATTTATTTTACGAATATTTTTTTAGGTTTATGAAGAATTAAAAGCTATCGGAGCTGACTCAGTAGAGCCTCGAGCCAGAAGAATCCTTGCTGGTTTAGGATTTAGTAAAGCAATGCAAGATCGTGCAACGAAAAACTTTTCTGGAGGTTGGAGAATGAGAGTATCATTAGCAAGAGCTTTATTTTTAGAACCTACATTATTATTACTTGATGAACCGACAAACCACTTGGATCTTAATGCTGTTATTTGGTTAGATAACTATTTGCAAGGATGGAAAAAAACCTTACTTGTTGTATCTCACGATCAAAGTTTTTTGGATAACGTTTGTACAGATATCATTCATTTAGATCAACAAAAGCTTTTCTACTACCGTGGAAATTACAGTATGTTCAAAAAGATGTATGAACAAAAAAGAAAAGAAATGATAAAAGCGTATGAAAAGCAAGAGAAACGTTTGAAAGAAATGAAAGCTTCAGGTCAGAGTAAAAAGCAAGCAGAAAAAAAACAAAAAGAAACTTTGACAAGGAAACAAGAGAAGAATAGATCTAAAATACAGAAGCAAGAGGATGATACTGGCCCTCAAGAACTTTTACAAAAACCTCGAGAGTATGTGGTGAAATTTAGCTTTCCAGATCCACCACCCCTTCAACCTCCTATTCTCGGACTTCACAGTAAGAATTAAAAAATTTAAATATATTATTATTTTTCTTCATGAGTTCTCATTTTCCTTATTTTTCAATGTTATAGATGTAACATTTGGATATCCGGGACAACCACCGTTGTTTATAGATGTTGATTTTGGTATAGATTTAAATTCTCGAGTGGCAATCGTTGGCCCTAATGGTGTTGGAAAATCTACTTTTTTGAAACTTTTAATAGGTGATTTGACACCTTTACAAGGTGACTTGATTCGCAATCATCGACTAGTAAGTAATCAAGTTTAATTAATTTAATTACATCTAAAAAAAGAAATGTAATTACATAAAATATATTTTTATTTTAGCGAATAGGAAGATTCGATCAGCATTCCGGAGAACATCTCACTGCTGAAGAGACTCCATCTGAATATTTAATGCGTCTTTTTAATTTACCTTATGAAAAAGCTAGAAAACAATTAGGAACATTTGGATTAAGCTCCCATGCTCATACAATTAAAATGAAGGATCTGTCTGGAGGACAAAAGGCACGAGTAGCTCTTGCTGAACTATGTTTGAATGCACCAGATGTAGTAATTCTTGATGAACCGACAAATAATCTCGACATTGAATCAATTGATGCTCTTGCGGATGCTATAAATGATTACAAAGGTGGTGTTATTATAGTATCTCACGATGAAAGACTTATCAGAGATACTGAATGTTGTCTTTATGTAATTGAAAATCAAACAATCAACGAGATCGACGGAGACTTTGATGATTACAGAAAAGAGTTACTCGAGAGTTTAGGTGAAGTGGTTAACAATCCAAGTATAGCAGCTAATGCAGCTGTTCTTCAATGACCGAATTCAAATACTTCCTAGTCTTTTGATAAATTATCGAATTATCATCTTTATCAATCAATGCATAAATAAAATCTCCGAAACGAAAAATGCTTCTCAGGATTTTAACATAGGAATTAATTATATTGAATCAATTTTATAATCTTAATACCATTAGCCTGTTCAAATTTATAAGAAAGGATTATTATGCCACATTTGCAAATTGTTGTTTGTGGTTTTTTTATACTTGCATATTATAATTTGTTTATATTGCGAAATAACAAATCTTTTTTATACTAAATATAGTAAATAATTTACTTGCAAAACAGTTTGACCACGGAATGAAAATTCAATTGGAGGTGATGATAAAAAAAACGAATATGCTATGAAAATAGTGAAAATCATTTTTGATTGATTGTAAATTATAAAATTTTAAAGATGATTAACCGAAAAAAAATGTAATTGTTATATTTAAATTTATAATGTATCTAAGTTTAATCAGAATTTAATAAACCTTTTTAATAAGGTCGAATTGTCATGTAAGATATTTGGCAAGATATTGCTAAGTAGGCGTTCAGAAACATGTCTATAAGAAAAGCCATATTCGGTTCTGGCGAGTTTCCAGGTGAAACTCTACGATTTCTTAGTCTCTGTTGCACGTATCCTCACAGAGATTTCGAAAGCACGCATTTTCCAAGAAGCATTTTGTCAACTTAGTTGCTGAAGAGAATGCACTAGCACTAGGATATCGTGTATTACGCTGTATTACACAGTTGAAAAGACATGCGCGAAATAAAAGTGAATAAACGACGCAACGATCAACGGCGCTGCTGTTCCTGTGCCTTTCTGTACTAATTTCTGGTTAGTGGTTCGCCTGGCTAAACTGTGCTAGTGCTCAATGCTGCCAAAAAGGGCAGATTGGGGTAGCAGGCACAGAAAAGTGATGTGAAAATTGTCAAATAAATATCTCAGTGTGAACAAACCGTGAAACAACAAAATGTCAAGCACGTTAGAAAATAAAATATTAAATTTACAGGAGCGTCTCAAAGCTGAAAAAGAGTCAAGGGATAGAGACAGACAGATGAATGATATTCAACCAGGAACGGCTTTCCAGCCGTCATCCTCAGCTCCAACGTCTTCTCCGATCGTTAGAAGACCTCGGCAGCGTAAGTATTCAATACTTTTTCTATTTCCAGCTCCAATTTTATTGAACCTTATAACTTAACCTTCCTTATCAATTTCCTGTTCTAAATTCCGAACAGGTTATGTTGATTATATTCAATTATTTACCACTATCTATATTTTTTCATCCTTTCATAACTTTGAATACTTTATGTTGTTTATAAATTTATTCTTGAATTATACGATCAATTAAATTTTGGAGTATTATAGTCTTCTGTGATTAAGTGTTTTTGGAATGTCTTATCTTAAATTTTATCTTGTTATTAGACTCATGTATCGTGATAATCAGAATAGTAGAATGAAAATTCTAATCAATAATACTTGATTATTTTCCAAACAGTTGGAGATGTTGGAACACCAACCAGACCTAGAAGGCAATTAGACTTGCCAATACAGATAGTGCCTCCAAAGACGTGTGACAGCGAGTTTGAATCCAAACTTCAGGAGATAATGAAGATGAATGGTATTCTTACTATAAATGGTCAAAAATATCAGACTGAAATGAAGGATTTAGAACATTTGGGTGAACTTGGTAATGGTACGTGCGGCCATGTCGTAAAAATGAGACATAAACCTAGTGGAGTAGTAATCGCAGTTAAACAAATGAGACGTTCTGGCAATGCCGAAGAAAATAAAAGGATAATTATGGATCTTGATGTAGTCCTCAAATCACACGATTGTCCCTATATTGTACAGTGTTTAGGATGTTTTATAACTGAATCTGATGTGTGGATATGTATGGAACTTATGGCTACTTGTCTTGATAAACTATTGAAAAAATGTAGACAAGCAATACCTGAAGATTGTTTAGGCAAAATTACTGTCGCAGTGAGTATTCAAAAATGGATAACTTTATATTCTAACCTCAATACTACAATGATGAATGTAAATTTAAATGAGTATAATTATATTTCATTCATCAATGGTTAATTTTTGAAAAATGTATTTAGTGATACATCATACTTAATTCTGTTGTGTTTCGTACATGTGATTTTGTAAGTGAATGACTGTTAACATTTTGAATATGCTCTTAATTTAATAGTGATTTCACTGAAATAAATAAAATTTATGTTGACTTACGAATATAATTTATTCTTACAGACAGTAAAAGCGTTGTCGTACCTGAAAGAGAAACACGGAGTGATTCATAGAGATGTTAAACCTAGTAATATTTTACTCGATGAACAGGGAGGAGTAAAACTTTGTGATTTTGGTATTTCTGGACGGTTAGTAGATAGCAAAGCCAAGACTAGAAGTGCAGGATGTGCAGCGTATATGGCGGTAATTATTTATGGCATTTGACCTTTAAAAATAACGTAATGTTATATTAATATCATTTATTTATTTAAATAAACTATATAAAATACGTCTAATTTGTTTATAGCCGGAGCGAATAGATCCTCCGGATCCAACGAAACCAGATTATGATATAAGAGCAGATGTGTGGAGTTTGGGAATAACTTTGGTTGAATTAGCCACTGGAGTTTTTCCCTATCGAGACTGCAAGACTGATTTTGAGGTAGAAACCGGATTTTTTATCCTCAGTGTTTAGCTTTCAATTGGTAATTTATTCATTTATTCTTACTTTATCTGATAGGTTTTGAGCAGGGTAGTTCAAGATGATCCACCTGCTCTTCCTCCCGACGCACATTTTTCAAAAGAATTCAGATCTTTTGTAGCTTGCTGCCTAACAAAAAACTATAAGCATCGGCCTAAATATCATAAACTCATGGAACATCCATTTATAAAGAAATACGACGTTCCAGAAGATAATACAAATCCATCGTTGCCTACCTCTGGCTGTCAGTGGCTTGGTAGAGTAATCCAACAACTGGAGCCTAAGTAAGTTATCTTAAGACTTTAATGCTCATCTCAATTCTTTTAGAACGTTTCTTATTCTTTCAAAATAATGCAGAATGAATATTAGTATTTTTTTATCTATTGAAACATTATTATTTAGTTGATAAAATTTTTTTTTTTATATTCTAGAGAAAACCCAACGAATTTAAGTTGATTAGTTAGAGTTTAAAAACATGGCATGAAATTCCTAACTAATAAAATAATGTTTGGTTTGGTATTTTTTTTTATAATAACCGGGTATCTCGACACAAAAAAAATAATAAAATTGTACATACTCGATTTTTATATATTTAATAATTAAAAAAGTATAAATTTGATTTTATAAATAATTCATTAATGATTCGGATAAAAAGTTAGATAATATCAAACGCCAATTTTACGTACTACAATAACATTCGTTCAATTCGAATTAAACGTTTGCGTGCGTGTTAAATTGTGTTACAGCGTTGAGCTTGAGGGAGGCAGCGCAGCGTAGTATCTTCGCTTCCTCACCTCTGATCACATAAATACATACTGTCCAACACATTCCATAAGACAAAAAAAAAAGAAAAAATTTTAAAAAATTTCTAATCCGCAACCCTCAAAAAAGTCAAAAAATGAAAGACCTGAGAAAAATACCCAAAAAGTCTGCCCGATTTTCATTTCGAGTTGTTTGGTTTGTGCACGTGCCTGTTACACACCCCACCCTTCAAACCCCACTCATGGTAAGCAATCTTTTTTATTTATTAAAATTATTGTTCGTTTTTTGTGTTATTATCGTTTCTTTTTGAAATTATATATATATTTTTTTGCTTATTTTTTTTTTCTTATCATCTTCACTATTGATTTTCATACCATTTTCCCTGTATATCTCTATTCTACTCCTCTGTTGCATGAATAACTAACGTTCTAACTTCCATTAACTCTTGTCAAATACAGGAATTTTCTAGGATTCTTATAATGGATTCTTTTTTAGCATTTTTGTACGTTGTCTTACAATAAGGGAATATAAAAATAGAATTTTTTATACATGAAATTCAGTTTCAGATTGAAAGAAGAACCACAACTTCATCGAGGTACAGGTCATGTGTCTCTTAAACAAACAGCTCATTTACGAAATAATTCAGAGACTTCAAATATAAAGAATAATGCAACTAAAGAACATCAGAATCAGTCAAGTATATCATCAATATATCAACGATTAAGCTCAGAGAATGGATTGGCTGCTTATGTTCCTTATAGTCCTTATGCATGGAGAAAAAAAGATATGATGAGGCCTTTTTCACCTCCAACGAATAGATCAAGTGATCAAGATTCGAATTATTCAGTACGATCTTATTCACCCTACCGACAATATACTGACCAAAATCGTTATTCTAATGGTCAGAATTCTTATAATAAAAGCAGATGGCAATTTATCGGAGTCTAAACCTTATGCTAGTCGATTAGAGGAGCGAGATGGTAGTACGGATCGATGGCAACAAAATGCTCGGTCTTTGAGTCCATTTTCTAGAGACTATTCACCATGGAGACGTGAAAATGTTGATCCACCGGGTGTCGTTCAACCCATTAGTGAAACCACTAGGTATTATGTTCAACAAAGACTAGGACAATATCCTCCGCACCAAACACATTCACCTTCACAAGATATTTATGGAAGTCCTATGATTAGTCGTAAAAGGTATTGTATTACTAATTAGGTTTTAATTATCTCATTAATATTTACTTTACATTATTTTTCGCTTGGATTATGATAATAAGTTCTTATCAACGTTCAAGCATATTTTCAGTGCATATTGTCTTTTATATTATGTTTTAACAATAAAATTAAAGTGATAAAATTAATATTCGTAATTTTGATGATGAAATTTATCTAAATTTTGTTAAATCAATAGAAAAAGTAGATACATGTGCTGGTTGTTATGATTGTAAAGGACTTAAAAAACTTTTTGTTATTTTTAAGGTTTCCTTCAGAACCTCCACCATCAGTTGGTTCTCATGGTCCTTCAAGTCCTCAATTATTGATTTCTCGTTTTACTCATCAAATGAAACAGGATTCTTTACCAAAAACAACCCAAGTAGAAACTAATTCAAAGGAATCAGCAAAAAAACGTTTTGCTTCTTATGTTAGATTAAGACTTGGTGGTGACCGTGCTTCTTCACCAGAACCACCTCCTCGATATAGTCGGGGAGAATCACCTCTTGCTCTCAGGAAAAATTTAATTGAACAGCCGTCTCCATCTTTTTCTCGGAGGTAAGTTTTTTATGTCATTATTTATTTTAATATGACATTTTTAATCAATATTTATTTCATCAATGAATTTTATTTTAGATATATTTCACCTTCTCCACCTCAGCCGCCACCAAGGAGGCTTTCTGAAAGCAATTCTGTACCTGGAAGTCCTCAATACGTACGTGCACGACTTCATTATACGCCTGAACCTCAAAGAAGGCCTCCACTTCCATAACCCACCGTTATCGTTGCCTCATCTTAATTCTCTCATTGGTGCCATAAGATAATGATATGCAAGAGATATTTGCTGTTTGTCGTGCACTCTTATGCCATTCAGAAAAATCAGCACATGATCCCTTGCTACTTATTGAAAAAGCTCCTCCATGTGTTTCGAGAGACTAAAAGTCATTTCCACATTCAAAATTAACATAATAAATTCTCGAAGAGAAAGTGAACTAAATTCAAATGAATCGAAGATAATTTGATTGTACTTTGCTGCTCAAAAATCAATCTAGATTTATAAAAAGCGAAAGAAATGATATCTATAAGCCTCTTGTATTGTTGCATATTTATATTTTACGCAATGACGACGCTCAACTTTTTATATCACTTGGAAAAGGATCAAGTGAAAAGTAAGAGTTTGTGGAAATCTTTTTTAACGAATTCAAATACAAAGAAAAAAACAAAAAGAAAATGACTTGGCTTTAAAAAATAATTGTAATTGTGTTTTAATATTCGCACTATTTGTTTCTGGTGTGACTTTCGCTGTAATTTTGAATTTATCTCACAACTAGTAAGATTCATGTTAAATTTTTACATTTCTTGGACTGAATCTTTTTCTATATATTCTATGCGTAATTGAAAATCAACAAAAGTATAATCGGGGGATTGTATTGCAATATATTCAAATATAAAATTTTGTACAAGTAAAAAACAATTATAATGGGTGAAAATATAATCGCATATAATTTGCGAAACAAGAATTTTAAAGCACAAGCCCCTTAGGGCATTAAAAATATAGTTAATTAAAAGAATTATCATGAAAAGAATTATTATAAATTGTATATTATTTAATTGAAAGAGCGTTGCGGATGCAGAGCTAAAAAATTGTAATTAATTTTAATTAACGATTCATTGATTGCAGTCAGATTGCATATTCTTACAAACAACATAAAATAACTTAAATACAACTTTTGTCATGTGACGAAAAAATCTGTTGCAATGTAAATAAACTTATATTTATACGAATCGGATCTAGTGCTTGTTTTTCTTTATTTATAAAAAATGATTAAAATAAATAAAAATAAATTTTTTCTAAAGAATTTTCCTACTTTTTTTCTACATGACTTTGGCTATTACGTAATAATAACGTTAAATAAGTGAAAAACACGTGCTTGGGAATCAATAGAATTGTTGATCAATTTTTACTGAACATAAATTTAACTAGGTCTAAAAAAAAACAGGATCAATTGGTATTATTAAACTATGCCACATTGAACATACTGTATCGTTGACCAGCAAGAAATTCATTATCTTTTTGCTTTGACGTGTAGGTGCGCGCAAGGAAACTACATATGATTAGTGATATAAAAAATTAAAAAATTTATTATTTAAATATTTCATTGACTAATGTTAAAAAAAATTACTAAAAAATATTTATTAAATTTTTTTCCATTTTTTTCAGTAAATTCTACATATTGTAATAATTATAGAATGGAGTATTATATGGAATTGAGTATTTATATGTAAAAATATAAATACATCGTTTGGATCGGCCCGTCCCTGAGAAATCAATATGGCCTCCGGTCGTTGACGGGGCACGCGAGTTTAGGAAAAGTTTTCTCCTAAAAACTTCGAAAACGATCCCGATTTTTGTTTATAAAATTATTTAAAACTATTTTTTACTTGTCAACAAATTTGTCACAATTGTGACGATACTAGATGGTGTTGAGGTTAAGTTAAAAAGCAAAAAAATTGTAAATATTGAGATATTTTGCATTTATTCCTGAAGACCATGGTTGTCTAACACCGATTTATATAAATATTACATCAACAATTGCCATTGTTCAAAGTAAAAAATTTAGGTAATGTTCAAAATTGGAGTAAAACAAAATAATAATAATTTTTTATAAGTGTAAACAAACAATATGTCGGAAGAAAATTGTAAAGAAAGTGCTGTGATCGAGGGTTGCCAGGAAGAAGAGGGCGAAGATGAAGATATGGCGACCAATACAGTTGAAGACAATGTTAGTATTCAACAAATACTTGAAGGAATGACTAATGAGTTTAACAAGACATTAATAAATCCCAATAAAACTAATGAACATGAAAAGTCTGAATCAAAAGTTTCTAAACCAGAGGGTGAATTAAAAACATCAGAGAAAATATCTGAACCAGAACTCCAAAAAGACAATGTTGTTGATGAAAACTCTGTTGAAGAAACAAAAGAAAACGATGAAGAAATTAATGACAAGCCAATTGAAGTAGATGAAACTTCAAAAGAAGTAGAAACTATTACCAAACCGCAAGAAGCCATGAAAAAGGATGGAAACATTCCACGAATTGTACTAACTTTTAGAACAATTGATGAAACAACTGGTGATGGGCGAAAAACAAAAATATCAAGCTGTGCATCAAACTTGAGTCTTGTTCCAGATGAATTGGGGAATTGTGATCATCTAGGTGGTGTTTCTGTAAAAATTGAACATTCAGATGATCATTCGGATGTGGTAGAAAAATCTGATACTGAAGAAGGTAGAAATGATGAAGAGGTTAACTTAGATAAATCGAGCAATAATCAAAGTCAAGAAACAGAAGTTGTACCAGAGAGTACAAAGATGCCTGAATCAACAACTCCAAGTGAAAGTGAACCTCAAAAAGAAGATGAAAAAAAAGAAGAGAACGATACTACTAAAAATGTAACTGATCAAAATACAGAATCTGCAACAAGGAAACGAAGAAGTAGAACAAGACTTCGAGCATTTAGTGATTCAAATGAAGAAACTCCAGGACCAAAACGTTCTGCTAGAAGACTTTGTAAAGAATCTATAAAAAGTACAGTATTAGAGAGTGCTATAGCTAGAAAAGAAAAAAAATATTCCACTGAGGAAAACAAAAAAAGAAAATATACAAAACCTGGAAGACCGAAAAAAACTCTCGTCAAGGAAACTAAAACAACATCAAATTCTTATGTTGAATACAATAATAGCTATAATTCTGACAGCAATTCCTTTGTTGATAGCTCTAAAAACACCAGTCCTGGAGACAATACTACAACTGATAACCTAGACATTTCAAAAAGGTCTGTAATTGACTATGAAGGAATGCCAAAGTTGTCTCCAATGATAAAAAATGCGGAAACACAGTCAAAGGTAGCTGATGGAGATGAAAACTCGCCTGTTGATGGTGATAAACCTTTCCTAAAACCAGCAACTAGTCGAAAAAAAGATCGTGGAAGACCAAGGAATAGTGTTCAATTAGCTAGAAAAGTGATAAAGACTGATTCTTTTGAAGGTAATTTTAATACTATGTCATTAAATGTTTTATTTAAAGTCATATTGCATTATGGAATCAATGAATGAATATTCATAATCATTCTTTTATAGTCATCTCCAAAAATCAAGTTCATAGAAAAGTAAAAAAGTTCAAGTAATTTTGAAACAAGGTTAGATACTGGTCAATGATAAAATCAGGATTTTAATGTTTTGACAACAATCTTTTTTGTTTTTTTGAAACAACGTTTTATATCCTAACCTATTTTTTAGATGGATCTTCATCTACAGCTGAAGCTGGTAAAAATAACGATTATCCTGAAGGTAAGCAGTTATTTCAAATACTTTTTTTTTCTAAATATGAGTTTCTATTTTTAAAAAATTCTTTGACTATATCCAATTCTTTTATCTTTTTCGAGCACATCGATTTATCTGTGTTCTGTAAATTTAAATTTATCTATCTCATCTAAATAATATACGTCTTTGAATTATTCACTACTTTTATTTAATAATAAATTAAATCATGTTTCAGAGTACAATATTCCCTTAAAAAGAACCCGAAGAAGTATGGTTCCTAGTCCAAGTCCTGCTGAAGGTCAAGCTTCAAAACCAGAATCAACTGCAATATTTAGTGAAGTACGATATTATTCTCTAGAACAAATTTGATTCTATTACCTTTTTTTATATTTTTAAACTTTTAAAATTGTCATCACTTGCCATTTTGCTTTCTTTACAGACTTATGAACAATCTATGCTTTGTCTCTGCCAAGTCAGATCTCAATTATATGTGACAATAACTGGCTCAGGCGCTCCATTATTTTGTACAGCAATAGATTCAATTGATAACCGGTTAATCGGGTGTTCGAATGAAGTGGATTCAAATGACGTTGCCATGAGACGTCCTAGCACTAGAGTTCCATTTATAATTCTTTGTCGAACTCATAAAGAGCGTCTTTTACGACACAATTGCTGTCCATCGTGTGGTCTTTTCTGTACCCAAGGTAAATTTGTTCAATGCAGTAACGGCCATCAATTTCATCGAGATTGTGAAGTGTTTATTAATAAAAAACCTGCGTGTCCACACTGTGCTAATGAAAGTTCTACATATGATGTCTTGATTTCAATGACGGGATCAAGAAAACCAGTCTATATACCTACACGTAGAAAATTCTCAAAATTACCATCAGCTAAGATGACTTTACCAGGAAAAGGTGATAATACAAAGCTGGCTGAACGTCCACCAAGTCCATTAGTAAAGCCTGAAGACATTAGAATACCTCCGCCTACATTAAATTCGGATAGACCTGAACGGTATACAATGATGAGCCTTTATACTTCAGTAAAAAATGGAGATCTAGAAAAATTAGTTAATGTGTTAAGTAAGTTTTCTTTCGTAACAACTTTTAATCGTTAACATTTATTCATTGAATTATGATGAACAACTATCTTTTCAAGCTTGCGGATTCAATGCAAATCATATATTCCGAGAATATTCACAACGAACAGGACTTCACATAGCAGCTGATAAAGGTCACTTAGGCTGTGTTCATGTTCTTATCCAAGCCGGAGCACAGTTAGATGTAATGGATAAAAATCAACTCACACCATTGATGTTGGCAGCCACGGAAGGAAGAACAGATGTTGTTCGGTATTTAGTCAGAGTTGGGGCAGATGTGACTTTAAAGGGTGAAGATGGAATGACCGCTCTCCACATGGCAGCTAAGTCAGGACATCTTGATGCTTGCAAAATTATTTTAACAGAATGCAAAGTACCTCGAACTTTAGTCGGTAAGAATGGAGTAATTTGAATAAAAGACTGCTTGAATCTGTTACAGAAATATTTTCAATTGAAAATGAATCGGTTCAATTTTTCTTACTCTTATTTGTTGCTATTAATCCATTCTACGATATCTTGAAGGATTACATTTAAAATTCTCATGAATGAATGTTCTTATTCTATGTTCTGTTTGAAAGTATAATCTTTTTATAAGCGAAAGCGTTTCAAAAACTGGGCCAGTGGCTTTGTTCAGATATTCAAAGTTATGTACAAACATACAAACAAACAGGTTTTCTCATTTACATAGATTATACACTAACAACAATAACTATAAATGAGTAGTGTAAATATGGAAAAATACATTTAATAATTTGTTAGATATTGAATTATAAATTATATTATCTTATCATTGATTTTACTACAACAATTAATAAATTGTCCATATCATTATTGAATTTCAAATTGAAGTTACAACACGTGAAACCTAATTACTTGAATAAATTATATTTTAATTAAAAGATATAAATTAATTTATTAATGTAGATTTTAAAAAATGAAAATGTAAACAAATGTCTCATTTGCTAACCACTTAAATAAAATACCTATTTCTATTTCAGATTCTGTTGATGATGGTGGATGGACTAGTTTAATTTGGGCTTGCGAGTTCTGTCACACTGAAGTTGCTCGATTTCTTTTAGAAAAGAAATGCGATCCTCTAATCAGAGATGCAGAACAAAATATAGCATTACATTGGAGTGCTTACAGTGGAAGCTCGGAAATTACGGAGATGTTGTTAAATGAGGGATGTGATGTTAACGCTGTTAATGTTCATGGAGACACTCCGTTACACATTGCTGCAAGACAAGATCAGTATGCAGTGAGTGTGTTGCTATTAGCACGAGGTGCTAAAGTATCTGAGACAAATGCGGCAGGAGAAACAGCAATCAACTGTTGTACGACTGACGGTGACACAATGGCAGCACTTCGATTGAACGCAAGAGTCATTGAATTATCGGAAAGCATGTGGGAAAAGACTACTAAGATTCTCAGTAATGATATTTCTCGAGGAAAAGAAACTAATCCTATTCAATGTGTTAATGGATTCGATTCAGAAGAAAAACCTACTGACTTCTTATATGTCATTGAAAATTGTTTCACGAGTAATATTAAAATTGATCGTACTATAACATCCCTCCAATCATGTCATTGTGAAGATAACTGCAGCTCGGAGAAATGTTTATGTGGCAATATTAGTTTAAGATGTTGGTATGATGAGGAAGGAAAGCTGATTCCTGAGTTTAATTATTCTGGTAAAATTCATTATTTAATAAAAATTTAAATTACTAAATTTTTTAGCGATTAATTAAAAAGAAACTTTTATGCAAATAAATTAAGTAAAAAATTTTTTCAATCTTTTAGATCCACCAATGTTATTTGAATGTAACCCAGCTTGTGCTTGTAATCGCATTACATGTAATAATCGTGTAGTGCAGCATGGTTTAACACAACGATTCCAGTTGTTTAGAACAAAAGGAAAAGGTTGGGGCTTAAAAACATTGAGACATGTTCCAAAAGGAACTTATGTTTGTGAATACGTTGGAGAAATAATCTCGGACTCCGAAGCAGATCACCGTGAAGATGATTCTTATCTTTTCGATTTAGATAATAGAGTAAGCATCAACTGTTGACCTATAAAAAATGAGGTTTACGCATCTCCACTTTGATTGAACCATCAATTTTTCAATTTAATCTTTTTGTAGGATGGAGAAACTTACTGCATTGATGCAAGACGTTACGGAAATTTAGCACGATTTATCAATCATTCATGTGCTCCCAATTTACTCCCAGTTCGTGTTTATGTTGAACATCAAGATCTGCATTTCCCTAGAATAGCATTTTTTGCGAATCGTGATATCGAAGCAGATGAAGAACTTGGGTATGTAATGAGTTTTTTAATATTTATTTCTTTTGATTAGTAATACTAATTTAAATGTCGTTTCTAACAAAAATTCATTCGGAGATGAATAATGTATTTTTTTATTTTTTTTTATTTTAGCTTTGATTATGGAGAAAAGTTTTGGATAATAAAATATAAATCATTTACGTGTACTTGTGGAGCATTAAACTGCCGATATTCGGAAAAAACAATACAAGTGACATTGGATAATTATCGTAAGAAAATACAACAAGAAGAAATTTTAGCTGGACAAATGAACTGAGCATAATAATATAAATATAATTGTTTGCATTTTAAAAATGATGTAGTGATTGTGTTGACTTCATATAATGAATGCATATCTGTGAATTCTATAAAGCAGAAATTGTTGGACTTGAAATCGAAAAAATGAAGTGTTGATGTATACAAATTAGTGATTTACATTCTTGATCGGAATTATGCAGCTCAAAGGATACCTTTTTTCTTTATATATATTATTATAATAGATTTTTTTAAAAATTAATTTATGAATATGATTTACCATTCTGCCTTACATTCTTAAAAAAATAATTTGTGTTTTTTAGAATGTGTGCCACGATGTAAGATCACCTTTTTGAAGAGAAATTTTAAAAATTATAATGAAACGATTATAAATAATGAATTGAATACACGAAAGAATTTATATGAAAATAGAATGGAATAAATTTTCAATAAATATAAATATAAATATTAATTGGAAAAATTTGTTGATTGGAGTGATGGAAACCTAAAGTGGTAAATTAATTATATTGATTTGTTTAACATGGAATATTTTTTATAATTAATGAGAAAAAATGTTTCTTATGAATTGATCTGTTTTATACGGCTGTTGATGATTGATCAATTTCTCAATGAATTTAGGAAAATGTATACGTACATTTTGTACAAAGAATAATGAAATCAAAGTTTTGTAAAATAAATAAAATGGTCGGTATTTATAAATCTAAATGTCTGATGTTAATTTAATTGACAGACACAACTCCTGAATGGAATCATTGAGAACTTTATACTTTAGTGACATGAAAGCAATTTAATGAAAGTGGAGTGGCATAGTTTCAAGCTCTCAAAGCCTAAAGTTTGTTAATGAGCCAAATATAGTAAACATATGGCTTTGTGGTTGTTCACTTGACTACACTTTGTAAAATCTTGCCCAAATTTGCCAATTTGACTTATGAACAATGTACATTGTTGCATAGTCAAGGAAATAATTGTAAAATATTCTTAATATATAATACACTTAAATTAAATTTCAATTTTAAATATTTACGCTTAAGACTTACTTTTATTTTTGTTGTATACTCATAATGGTTGTCAAAATTTTAAATATTATGGGTCAATAATATTAAATAGTTTTTTATGTACATAATATTTCGCAATATTTTATCGTTGAGTGTTTTGAATAATTAAATCAATCATTATTTCTACTGAAAAACTCGAGTTTATTTAATTGCATTTCAATTCATACTGCAATTTACTATAAATTTAATTAAACGTAGCAGTTGATTGCAACGGTGGAATATAACTTCGTCAATCCTGAATAAAACTTTATATGAAAGACTAGATAAAATTGTAAATGGAATGTTTTTTAGATAATTTAGTAAATAAAATATCTTTCTGTTTAATTGATAATGATTTTATTCGATTGTATAGACTATCGTCTTTTATTTTATTGCAATTTTATTAAAACGTAATTTTTTTATTTTATTCATTTAGAATTTCCATTAGAAATATATAGATGTTTTATATTAAATTCTACACCGATTAATCTTTTTTATTATTAATTCCAACATCTTTTATCAAATTTCTCTATCTATAATGTTAAAATATTTAGTAATTATTTCAAAGAATTTCTATTTAAATATTCTGACTCTTATTTTCAATTTTAAATGGTGAATCGCGATTGGTTTTTTTAATCAAGTATTACTGTTTGTTATTCGTTAGCGTTCGACCAATAACAAAGCGCGATACATTCAAAAGGGTAGATGAGCGTTGTCTTTTGTTGTATTCAGATCTCTCGCGTTCCTCTGTTGTGTTTTCGCACTTTACCTCGCGAAAAGTCATTACCATTTAAATTGTGTTAATAATATAAATATTAATAATCAAATAATATTAAAAATAATGAAAAATATCGTGGAATTGATCAAATTACGATTGGTAGAATTTCAATCATGCGTAGTGGTTGAGTTGTCATGGATTGGCCGCCGATTTGTTTCGTTCAAAATTAAACGGAAAGCCGCCAGTTAGTGTAGCGACCGTGAAGCGCTTACAAGTGTTGCGTTTAGCTGCGTAGATCGTAGTGTTTTTTGTTGGATGGTGTATAAATTTGTTAATTTTTGTAAACAAAACATTTTGTCTACTATATTATTAACAAGTGAATTGAAGTTTACAATGTTTAGCTTTCATTTGTAATCAAAATGCTTCACAACTTGAGTTCTAAAAAATCAAATGTAAATGTGGCAAAATTTTTACTATGTTGTTAAGTGGATGAATATCGTTTTTAAAACATTCAGAATGACTAGCTGACGGATACATCAAGTTCAATTTAGAACGTTTATCAGGACGGCGAAGTCAAGCCTGAAGGAAACGCTGGAAGGTGAGTCACAAGATTATAATTCGATACAATTCCGAGAATCTAATTTCGGAGTATAGAAACATTTCTTCACTTTGTTTCTAGTCTTAACTTTGCGAAACAGACTAAAACAGATTCAAATGAAACAGCAAGAAGCTGTTTATTTACCTTCTTTTTTTTCAATTTCGTGATTTTTCTTATTTAGTCTTGAGAGTTTCATTTTTCGACCATTCAATGTAAAGTTTTCAATCTCAATTAATTTAATGAGTTTATACTATCTATTTTTATTTAGTAATCTATTAAATAATAATTAAATTATATGTTACAAAATTTATTTACCACTTTATTTCTTAGTTCTTATTTAATTTTTATTTAAGCTCCGAAACGTTTTAAAGTAATCTACTGTTTTACTTGGATACTTTATGACTCCAATTTTTTTTAATGATAGAGTTTCTTCTTCCATTTAATAAGCTATTGAACGTAGTACTCCAAAAAATAAACTGATGAACTAAGAAATATTGAGTATCTATGGTATTTTTTAACTTCATTTTTTTAATTTTGTTATCAGTTTACTAATTAAAGAAAAATTAATAATATTAAATATGTGATAAAAATTAAAGAAACAATATTCTCTTCAAATATTATTAAGTTCATAAATAATTTATGCAAAAATCTTACAATCAAGTATCTAATAATTTACTTTAATCACATTTTTATGAGTTTAACCTAAAGTTTTCGTCGGAAACTAATGTATAATAAAAAATTTAATTTCAATAGTTATTTCTGAGTATATTACCTTTTCCCATATAAGTACTTGAAAGACTGTTTCTTCGTCAAATATTCTGCCAGTTATCATAAAATAATACTGAATCCTCTTATTCGAAATTCTTTCAGTAAAAGCAATTGAGTTTTTATTTAATATTTTTTAATTTCTCGTATGCCTTATACTTTTCACTTAAATCTTTTATTTGTTGTTTCTATCAGAATGATTTATTTCTTCATTAACTCACACTAAATTTGAAGATTATTATCATTATAAAATCATGATTCTAACAATAAGCATACACAGAAATCAAAGCAGCAAAGCAGAGCTTATTCCTAAACTTATTGTTATCTAACTTGGAATTGTATTTCATGAAGCTTATAACATTTATAGTACTGAGTGTTACGAAATACAAAATAATTGATTATTTAGAGATATACAAATATTTAATGTTTTATTTAAGTAACAAAATCAATAAATTGCAAAATCAAATATCAGAAATTTCAATGTTGGAACCAAAGCAAATAATCCATACAACTCAACAAGTATAATTAAAGTAAAAGCGTCATTGGCAAAACACATGATAGTGACTAGACACTATTCAATTATTCTAGAGTAATTTATTATTTTATTTTACATTAAAAAAATAAATATAAAGTTATTAAATGATATCTCAGCTAAAATTTTTAATTAAAAATTATGAATTTCTTAAATTACTCTGTGGAGTATTATGTCATATTGTAGCACATAACATTATTTAAATGATAATGGATGAATGGTAATGGATGAGTAAAAAAAGAAAAATGTAATTTGGAGTTTATATTAATACATATAATAATTTGTGCTAACTCATAAAATTTATTTAAATAACTCTGTGAATGTAATTAAAATAAGTATTTATTTATTTTTATTTATAATTATGTTACATCTGTATTTTAATAATACTACGGTTGAAATACTGTACAAAATACATCATCAGTGATAAGTGAAGGTTTTATGTTATATGGGTAACATAATTATTCGAGACTTATTTTTTTTATTCTGTTGAAAAAATAAAAAAATGTGTAGATAAACAATTTAGTCATAAATGGCGTAGAAAAATTAATTGTTTGATTATTTACCACAGAAATTATAAATATTCAATGACTAATAGAAATTCTTCTATCACAATAACCAGTGAATCAATAAGAAAATATTTTTATTTTGACTATACTTTCTACCAAATAAATAAAGCTCACTGTATTCGTACAATGATAATTAAAAATAACCCCCTATGTTTTACGGGTAGTTATTTTGATTTTTTGTTATCGTATCAAAACGCACATTTATCTCCATTGCGGTCTAGGTTTTCCTTTCTCCTATAACTATCTACTCGAGTGATTAAAACCACGCGATCGTTTCTCCTTTGTATAAGCCCTTAAAATATCGATCTTACTTCATAGACTTTAAGTGTCAGAACATTTACAGGAAACAGAAAGTTCAGGTGTAAAAGGAAAACTATTTTTCCTTTTAAAATATTACTTTTATGTTACTTTTTGCAGTTAGCTATCTTTTAAATTACTTTTCTTTTTTTATTATTCAACACTTTATGTTTCTTGAAAGGATCTCAAATTCTTAAGTTTGCCAAGTCTTGCGTGCAGACTGGCGCCGAGTAGCCAGACGTAGTGCGAACACTATTCAGTAAACTTGCGTGAATATATCCATTCAATAATTATTCTGTCAGAGATATAAACTTAAGAACAAAATAGAAGAAAAATTAATTATAATTTTCTTCCCTCAGTAAAACTTACAAAGTCGTTATCTTTAAAAATAATAAGTTTTTTGTTTGTTAACAATTAAAAATATGTAACTTACAATCAATATATACATATAGTATTTATAATTACATGCTGATATTTTCATATTTTCTGGGTCAATTATTATTTTAGCTGAGCAAACAATTCCGTATTAAATCACTAACAAATTATCCTACAGTTTTAACGTCGTCTTATCTCATAATCAGAATTTTGCTTATCCTTTTTGATGATCAAATTATATAGATGAATGCATTTACATTTTTATTAAATATCCCAGAAAATTTTCATGGAATCAATTGATTCTTTGTGCTCGCAGATGATCAATATTCACATGTTGAGGAATTTCTATTTTCCATGGATGAAAATAATAATAATAATTAGCTACAATAATTCTGATTTGAATTCCAATCATATACAATTTTATTACGAGTCAACAAACATTTGAACGCGAAAGTGAAGCTTATTGCAAGCTTTCTGTTGTTGGTGCATGCCCAGCAGAAGATATCGGAGCATATTAAATTTCTATTATTGAGAGACGATTAACTATTGATTACGGCATGCAAGTTTACGTTTGTTGATTCAGCATCATCAGTTTCATATAACATGAAAAATGTAGGATAAATCATGTTGGCAATCTCCAATGTATTGCAATTTTTTTTCATCTCAAAGTATATTTACTTTATTTTTGAAATTTATTTTTCGAATAAAATATGATAGTAAATAGAAAAACTGGAATTTATCATTTGGAAATGATCCGGATATACTGAGCCATATGACATGCAATCGTAACAGACGTCAGTTAATACAGCTGCTGTAACAAACTTGACAGGGAGTGTAAAGGATGTCACAGAAATTTCCCTTGTCCCAAGCTATACACACACGAAGCTCAGATCACGATTCACGCACAAACTGTCGCTTTGCAAATGCATATAAAATATCCTTATGACATCTTGTAACCTCGCAAGTTATGCCAGGCTCTCAATATTGATTTTTTTTTATTACGATCGATAGATTCTATTATGTAGATGTGATTCAAACATCGTAACAGGGAATTTTTATAATACTTGAAAATGAAAGTAAAGTACTGATAAAAATGCATGTGAAAACGTTTTAGTTTGATTGACAGCGTAATTTATATTATACAGTAAAAAAAGTCGTCATTTAAATAATTAATTTTTTAACGCAAAAATTTTTTTTTGAATAATTTGAAAATTATTCTTTAAATAATTTTTTTTTATGTAAAATGATGTTTTCAATAAGAATTCTCTGGAATAGTTTTTAAACTATGAGAAAAAATGATATTTTCAAGATGAGAGCTCTATGCACTAAAAATATAAATCAAGTAAAGAAGGAAAAAATTTTTTATACAGCGAAAATGTAAAGAAAACTTGTAAAGTTTGTTGAAAAATAAATTTGAAAACAGTCGTTTTCAAAATTACATACGAGTTAAATGCGTTTTTATATAATTGACATAAAACATTTCACATGAGAAGTTTCATTCTGTGTAATGAAAATCTGACAATGTAACGTGTTCTAAAAAAAAGTGAAAATTTTATGAGGGTATTCTGTACTATGGCATAACGCATACTACGTTACAAGTTAGAATTCATTGTATGCCATGAGGAAACCACTTGGCGTCTACAAATTTAGAGTTTATTCTTTACCAAAAGAAAACTTTCATTAATATAGTACTGTGTATAATTGTTCGAAATGATATTCACAAGACTCAAACGAAATTTTTTTCACACATTGAAATTTTTAAATTGTCAGTATTAAGTTAATTCTTCCATTCCACTTTTGAAATTCAAAATAAAACTTTTATCTTTTAGGAAAGAACAGGTAGTTTTTTACTTCGAACATGAGCTTTAAAAGAGCTATGTAACAAAGTGCAAACTGTATAAACCAATTTTCAAGAGTCGCATAGCGTAGAGATTACTTGCCTTGCTTTATCTTAGGTGTTGATTTACATCATGCTGAAAGAAAGCTAGAAAATGTGCATAAAAGAAAATTTTTCACAGTTACAAAGCATGTACTGTGAAAATATATGATTGAATGCTCAAAAGAAGCGTTGAATCCTCTGAGAGATAAATATGCAGATATATGTGCATATTATGGACTTATTTAATATATGTTTTGCATGGTTCCTTCATTTATACGTTTCACAATTTATAGATTTTTTTGCTTGTCAGTCACAACATTTTTTAATTTTTTACCATTCCATTTTATTTACCAAAAAACTTTTAATAGCAAAAAAAAATCTCAAAGTTTAACAGTTTCATGTGAATACTTTTAATTTTGTTTGAATTTTGTAAATATGCTTTTTTAAATTACTTCTGATTTAAAAGGAAGAATTTAGATAGCTTAAATTATAATTGGTATATAATTATATTGAACATACATAGAAATTATTTATTCAAGTCATAGATAAGTCAAGTCCGTAATATAGAGAGGGAGCAGTACCAGTATGTTTGGATCGATGATATAATAGCATTGGTGCTACAAACCTCGACATTGTCATCAAGTCTTTGATATGACGACGTTTACTTGCATGCATAATTAGTGGCTCTAAGAGAACACAATTTCATGAGGCACGTGAAAATCAAAATCAGATAAATGTTACGAAAATTTCACATCAAAACATTACCATTCGATTTCAATTTATTACGTAAATTTGTTTTAAACTAGGACATGAAAATAAAGTTATAATGAAACAAATAATCAAGAAATTTTTAATAGAAACGAATTAATCAATAATATAATTAAAAAATAAATTATCGTATCAAGGTATCCAAATCATTAAGGATTTTATTTATAATAAAAAAGTTCACGTGAACTTTTATGAAAAAATTTTTATATCTCGGATATTTCGTTAGAAAGATTATTTATTTTTAGTAATTAAAAAATAAAACGAATAAAGCTAATAATTGAATGTCTCAGGCAAAAAACCTCTCATAAATTGAGGGTGAATATTTGCCCCTGTTAATAATAGTTCCAGTTCCCCTAAATGTATTTTAGCAATCTACTTTGACTTCTCATTGTGTCATCTGAAACTTTCCACACTCACAGGATAAATTTTTATATGTCTGGAACTTTCCCGAAATATCATTTATAAAATGAACAAAGAGTATGGACAAATCCGTGAAACGGTTTTCGAGAATATAAAGCGTTTATCCAGACAAATCAGTATATATAAGGTCACTTCTCTATACTGTGTGTATAAAAAAGCAGAATAGAGAAGCAAAAAAATGGCTTTTAGTACATTATTAAATCAGATGAAAGAATTATTGCAGATAAATTATTGAGTTAATATAAGCAATTTTTTCAACCAAATATCGTTTCATAAATAAACTATGATTTATTTGAATTTATAATAAATTTGAATTATTATAAAGAAAAAATTAAATTAAAATGTAGTAGACTGTAGTTATGGATGATAAATATGAATCTCGATCTTCTTCACCCTCGATTTGTGACGAAATTTTCAATCGTGTTGGTGAGATTAACCCCATAGAAACTCTCTACGTAGCTCAAAATCCTTACGTTAATACTTGTTTTTATTGTGTTAGACTTAAACCCATAAAGCTTTAATATTTTATTATTCTCAAACTGTTGGAAGTTCCAAACTATCAAGACAGATCGAGATACTACTATATGTTGATAATAATTTAAAAAATTTTTTTATATTTCACTTTTATATTGATGTATCAATTCAATCAACCCTTTTATTGTATTCCAGAATTGTTTTAAAATAGCAATGAAACATTTTTGATATGTCATTGTGGGTGGGATTTTAATACAGAGTTGAATGATCGAAATAACTAAAACGATTGACTGTAATATTTTATATTCCTGTTGATTTACAATATAAATGAATTTTTGATTATTTTAGACTATTGATTCACATTTCAAAGGCAAATAGTAAACGATAAATCAAGCTGGTAGATTTGAGGGAATGTCGGGTTGAATTTATTTATGTAAATAGATATTTCAGGTGCGTTGCTGGATGAGTCGACATTACACAGAGCTAATAACGTTGATTTTATGAAAATAAACATCGGTACTGTAAAAAACTTCGTGATTACTTTCCGATTTTCTGGATTATGTAAAGTTGACATAAAAAGTATGATAGACAAGTTTTTTGCATTATCTTTTATTTAAAATGTTTCTTAAACACTTTCTCATCTCATAATAGCTCATTTCTTTCAATAGCATACTTTAAGGAATTGAAAATAATGGCTTCGTTAATTTGTTGTGAAAGTTTTAAGTAAAATCAAGGATTAGTTGCCTCATTTAAAATTTTTTCAAATAATTAAATAAAATGTACTCTTCGTAGATCTCAGAATTTATTCAACAGTTGGGTATAAAATAATTTTTTCTAGATTTACTTATCTATATGTAGTATCAAATTAGATTATATTGTTCAGTATTCGAAATATGTAAAACACTGGACAGATAAGATTTTTTTTTGAAAAATTCATCGTCGAAAAACAAGAATTTTCCATATTTGATTCATGTGTTAGGGTAAGAGAATCCCTCGAGAAGCATAGATCACCTTCAAGGAATGTAGGAATTGGTAAAAATAAAATTTTTAATACTGACTTTTTAAGACAGTATGATTTATCTTCACTTACATAGATATTACTACAAATCTAAATGCTTAATGAAGTGTTTCAATATTAAATATTTAAAGAATTTTCAATATTAAACTTTATGAGCATATTATAAAAATTTTATAATCACATCTTTAAACACTTAGATTTGTAGTGCAAAAAAAGAAATCAAAAAAAGTTATTTACATACTTCCGACTGATATTAATCAATATTTTATAAATATTTATCTCTGAAGAATGTTTCTAAATCACTTAATAGTCTCAACAATCTTCGAATCTGCAAGTCTTTACTCTGAAAAACTATTCTGAAACTAATAGATAATATTTTAATCGATTGATTTTGTTCGTATGATTATATCATAACTTACACACTACAAACATTGAATTTGTAGTGCATACATGACACATTTATTCAACTCAGGTGATAAAAATTTTTTTCCATCGAAAATGTGTATATTATTTAAAGCTAATATTTGTTTAATTTTGGAAATGTGTCACATATTACTTGATATTGTTTACGATAAAGATATTGAATAATTTTTCGTGAGAGATAAGCTCTGAACTCAACAGGTTTGTGTTATCGATTATGTTGATAAATACTACAAAAACGGAAATGAAAGTTTCGTTACTAAAGTTTCTCATAATACCAATCGATTTATTATCAGAATATTATCCTGGTTTATTAGTAGTACAAAATTAATTTTATTGAAAAATAGATCACGGTATTTTAACTTTGCACCATTGACATTTTTAAAATTATCTTTAGAAAATTATAGAATATCTCAAGACACTTTCAATAGTGACATCAACTGAATAATTTCAGAAATTTTTTTTACATTTATTAGACCCGATAAGCATGGCTGAATTTATAGATGAGTTTGCGAAAACTCTCGCTGAAGGCGGAGAAAAAGCTCTTATTGAAAGAGAAACCGAAAAAATATTTCAAAAAAGTTTAAAATTTAACGCCCAAGAATTTTCGGCGATTTTTGATGAAAGTAAATCACTCCAACAAGAAGCTGGAAGATGGAAATTAAATGGAGTTTCATCAGAAGAAATTGCATCTAAAATGCGATCAGGAGATCTGATAGAATTATTTGAGAAAATGGACGTCAATGTTGGTGATCGCTTGAACTTACTTGAAAAACAAAAAACTCTTCGGGAGATTATTTCTAATTGTCCAGAATTACACTTAACGGAACTTGATGAAAAATTCGGAAAAGTAGCAAAAAATGTTGAAGAATTGAATCAAAATATTGAGAAATTAACAGAAATGAATGAATCGTTACAGAAAAAAGTTTTAGAAAGAGCTGAGAAAGCAAAATGGATAAAATTACCAACAGCATTATCATTAATTACAGCTGCAGCATTAGTTGGACTGATAAGTACGATTATTGGCATTATGAGCGATATGAAAGGTTGTTATCTATATCGAATAATCAATGGTAAATTAGAAAAATATAAAATAAAAAGCCGATCAACTAATAAAAACATTCCAGATGATCTTATGCGATCACACGCTGTGCAAGATTATGCAGTTCTTAGAAAACCTTCAAATTACTTAGACAATTGTACTAATTTAACTCTGAAGATACGGCAGGTTTTTAAAAATAGTGAAAGTAGTTCTACCGATAGCCCATCTAAAAATGAATTAATTAAAATATTGGGTGATAAATCAAATCCATCGAGAGACGAAATCAAACTATATATCAGAGAAAAAACTAAAGATCTACAAGATCACTTCAAACGTTATCCTGTAATAGTATCAGCACCTCTTGATCTTTTATATGAAGATGAAAAAGTGAATTGTGTTGCTTGTGATCCTTCTGCACCTATCGATTCTCTTAATTATACAACTAGGGATGGGTTAGCGACTAATGAAACTTTCCATTGTATAGATCATGTTAGTATATATGAAGCGTTTAAAAATTTCGGAGAAGACACATTGAATGATATCGTTGATGACTTTGCTAATCTTTTTGATTTAAAAGGATTAATGTTAACCGTTGGAAAATTTTTGTTACTTTTTGTGGTTTTATATATAATTGGAAATTTTGCAATAATTTATTTCACTAAAACCAAACATTATGAAAGACTAGAGGAAGAAGAGAGTGAAATTCAGATGAAACCGTTGAAAGCAGCATAAACATTAAAATATCCGTTGCACTACATGAGCTCATATTACATTAGATTAATTACAGTCGAGATAAAATTTGAAACTGATTAATACATCATTGAGAATACAAATAAATTGAACATTTTTCGTTATATAATAATTGAAGTAATTTTAAAAATAACGTTAACTTTTGCAATAATATTTATCAGCTGCATAAAATATTTTAGAAGTGAAAATGCATCCATTTTTTTTTCATTAAGCATTAAAATGATAATTTTAAGCTTTTTCTTATTAGATTTAAGTAGCTGTAATCAAGTTTGAAACAAAGCATTTCTATTTTATTATACTGAGTTATGTAATGTTGAGATTTTGGTAACATTTGCATTTATATTTTCATAAGCTTTGTTGCTTTTTTTTAGAGTAAAAATTTTTTATTACTAGACAGTTAAAATTCGTAATTGCACTCATTTTATGAGCCAGCAATATAAAGTTGAGTCGAATTTAATTAAAGCAATTAATAATCTTTATTCAATAGCTCAGAATAAAGTAATTTTTCTCTCCATTCGTGATTTACTTTCGTTCAGTTAATAGAATTTTACTTAATCCAATACTCTAAGTTCGAAATTCCGAAAAATTAAATAAAACATTCGAATGTCAAAATATTTAGCCAATTTCCATCCAATTCCTCTCTAAAGGTCACATAAGATAAAAAAAACTTGGTTAATTAAATTTATTACTGACTTTCCGAACCGAAACCCCTTGGGTTCAGAGTCCGAAAAATTACTACGCATATACAACTTGTTAACAGATACATACATATACACAGATCCAATTTCATTGGTGATTTAATTTAACCAACTTTCTTCCCCTATATATTTTATTCTATATATGCAATTAATTTTGTAACTTACTTAAGATAGTAACCTTGACATCGTTGACATACATTGTAAATTAGAGACAAGATTTTTCGATAAAACACTTAATTAGTAAAAGTTCATTTTAATTACGCTACAATAGATACATTAATTATTTTTTGTGCAAATTTAATACTTTCTAGCTGATTGTTATCTTGAGTTCATGTTTCATCAAAAAAAAATAAGATAAATTTTTTATTCTTCTATACATAGGAATTCATTTTTTAAGCATCTCATTACAAACATAAATGAAAAAAAAATTGAATAAAAAGGAAATGCGAAAGAAATGGGCAGGCTATTGCACGGAAGTTTTACGTGTGTGGCAGGCCGGTAAGGGGATGAAAAACGATGCCAGGGGTTGCCCCTGAGATCCACATCGCTTGGCAGGAGAATGAGAAGGAGTCCAGGGTTTGCTATATATAGAAAACCGCCCGGGGCATCGATCGACGAACCCCTGTGCCTGGGAGAGAGATCCGGACGCTTTCTACCCTCACTTCTCAGCCGCAGGGGTTGATACAGTATACCCAAACCGACAAGCTTCTACGACGATGCTTTCACGCATTTCTCTTACCCTTTTCCGCATTCTACATGTGAGTCTCCCTCACTTCTATTGTGCATGGATTTCCCATTCAAATTTTGTCTACGGCTTCATCCTAAATAGAATAGAATATTGAAGCTAATCAAAATAATTCCCATGTTTTTTCTAGGCATGAATTATTTATCGACGATTATGAGATTATTGAATATTGTTCGCTTTTGTGAAGATTGTATTTCATTAAATAACGAAAAACTTTATTCAATAATAAAATGATGAAATAATATTCACTGTTTTATTTTCTAAAAATGAATCTGTGAAATACACTGTCGAAAAGTGTTATTTTACTCACTGATTTGTAGTTATAAAACTATCACTGTTTAAATAAGTGCTATTATTATAACTGGAAATAAAATATAAAAAAGAGAACCACGTTTTTTGTTGAAAACAGTCGCTTTTATTTGTTTCATTTTTATAAATTGATGTTTTTTTTTTTTTACTTTTTTTTACCGGGTGGGAAAGTAATAAAGTTCATGGTTCAGATTGATGTTTTTTCGGTAATCCAATAGGCTCGTGTGATAGATCGATGAATGTATAAGCCATTTTTCATGTCGCCTACTGATATCAATTAATATTACAATTTTGAGAATGGTGTAAGCAACACTCATCAACTTCACCAGTGATGGAGGTAAACTTAATGAATTTCGGGACAAAAATCTATCCCCACTTTTCAATAAAGAGTAAAAGCTACATTAATATTTTGATAATTGCAACATAAAATTGTTGCCTGCTTGTACAGACAAATAGCTACGACTTAATATGAAAGTTTTGACAACTTGCAAGCTCAAATTAAAAATAAAAATCCTGTTGGTTTACTAATTGCTCAAAAGCTTATTTATTCAATAAAAAAAAGTTATAAATAAACTTTAAACATGTGAAGCAAGCAGGAAAGAATTGATAAAAAACATACTGCTTTAGATTTCACTAAAAATACACAATTTTTTAAAACTACCATTCCCCCAATTCTTTTTTTTAAATTTATAGTTTCATTCATAAAAATAAGATTTTTATTTGACTTGAAGTTCTTGTTTCTAATATACATTTGAAATTGTTTTATTGCAAAAACAAAAGAATAAAGAGAGAAAATATTACATACTCGACACCTCTTGTTGAAGAGTTAACACGCAAAACCAATTGTATTAAATATTTCATCGGCAAGTAGAAAAGATTTTTCAGCAGTTTATAAATATCTGAAGAGACTTGAACAACTTTTCTTTCTGTAACCTGATTTTTCTTTAAGTTGCCGGAAGCCAGAGGCTTAGAAACACATGAATATATCTATACACTTTTCGTAACTACGGGCAAAAGATAGTTTTAACCTGAGGGAATCAATTGTACGGATTACGAAGTACTTTGCTATTGAGTCTTGCAAGTTCAGCCTTTACAATTCAAGTACTCTCTACTATATAGATTCTATAACTTTCATCACGCAAAATGAATACGTAACTTGTCTACCTTTAATTATTTCTTCATTTCGCTCGAAAAAAAATGTCACATACATCATATGTGAATTCTTTAATAAATAAAAATACAAAACGAAAAAATTTTCACTCATAACAAAAAAATTGTAGGAAAAACTTTGAGACAATTTTTAAATGAACTTTTTATCTCAAATAAAAAAAAAAATCTTAGCTTTATAATAAAACTCGAGGGTTTTTTGTTTTATTCACTGAGTATATTATCTCTTTTGTCTTTTTATTTCATGCATTATAAAATTTATCGAAAAAAATAACGACAAATAAAACACGAAAAAGCTTTCGGTTTTTATTTTCTTATTCAAGCCTAAGTAAGTAACATTATTATGAAAGGTATAACACTATAAACTATCGGTTCAAACCTTAACTTCACAAAGACTTTGACAGGCTTATTTATAAGTCACTTTTTTTACATATATCCTAAAAGGTGTAAGAGAGACCCATACTATACAATAAAGAACGATACTATCTTACAGCAGAAACTCCCAAAAAGAAGATGAATAACAATAGTGTGTCCTTGTTTTTTTAATTTAATGCTAAAAGAAATATCTAAAACTGATCATGTTTTTTTAAAGCTTAATTTTAATATAAAATTTGATGTAAAAGCTGTATAATGATTTTTTATTGCCACTAATAAAAAGTTTATAATGCATGAAATATGTGAACTAATATTAAACGTGGAGTGAAATGATTATTTTTCAATTTAAAATATGAGCTAAAAGAATGCCTGGAGCCACTTTGAAGGAGAGTGTGATTCTGAAAGCCATTGTAGCAAAAGAATAGTCGATATTGCTTCGAGCTTTTTGCTTGGGAAAACTCACAGTTGTAAGGTGATTTTGTTCTATAGAAATGAAAAGATCTACAAGACTAAGCACAGGCTCTTATCAAATATATTGTTTCAATCTTTGTTCGTTTTTTTTTATCAACATTACTCCAGTTATTTCTCTTTTGTTTCTTACAAGTTTTTGTGTATATGAATTTATTGTATTTTTCTTGTAAACATTTTTCATATTTTGATGTTATAATCCTAATATCGTTTTTTTTTTTACTATGAAAAATAGTAATTTTGTTGATTTGCAGGATCACTTTTTGTAAATCGCTTGGTATATTTATTTTCCAATCATAGAAAGCTGTAAAGCTAGACAATTACGATCGATTTCGTTGGAAAATGTACACATGTATAGTCTTGCTTGCTCTCCTACGTTGACGCGAGACATGCGAGTACTCACCAAGTGCTGAGTACAACGCGAGTTACCACCTGTTGCAAGACTGAAGGATGAAACGTGTTTCCTGGGTTACTTGTAACTCCGTTTCGTCCGTTTAGTCGTAGATTTTTTATTTATAGCTATTTCCAAATCTATTTTCTCCTTAGAACTTTTTTTATATTTATAAATTGTTTTATATTTTACACATTATCGTTTCACTTTAATTAAATAATCAAACTAAATGACTAAAAAATTAACTCTTAAAACAAATTGTTTGATACAAAATTAATATTATTAATAAATATCAATATATAGATATTTATTTAAATATAAGAAGAATTGCTTTGAAAATTTTTTTAAATAGTATTAGATAAGAGATTATTGAGAAAAAAATTTAAAACTTTTGAAAATACTGTTTCATATCATTGGAAAAATAGAGAAAATTTTAATTCAAATAAATTTGTCTCATCTTCTTACGATATTTTATTCAAGATGAAAATTACAAACTTGATAATGAATGTTAATGAGTTAATTAAAAAAAAGAATTTCTTTGATCTTCTGATTTTCAATATCATTTAACAAGTGATTTAAATGTTGTACAAAATGTTTTAATTTATATGATAATTTCTAGATGTTATAATTGATGGTAAAACTTTTATTCAACTTTTGTGATAGAAATAAGTCATAAATTAATTTGTTTTTGAAGAATAAAGTTATGAAGCATTAGCAAGATATAAAAAACAGCAAGTCAAACTTGATGATATCAATCCGATGAAGAAAGTTCATTTATATTTTCCTCGTTCTTTTATATATTTTTTTCTTACCTCATTCGTTTTTCGCCTTTTGTAATGGGTCATTCCAACATGCGATTTAGGTCTTAATCCAAGTATTTCGTGTTCCATATGAATTAAAAAAAACCGGTGAGTAGTTGATAGTAATCTTCATTGTTGATTCTATT